GAGGGAAGGTCCAGCGATAGAAGGAGCCACTTAAAGCGTCCCTGGACAGCGTTAAATATTTGATCGGAATTCGATTGATTTAAGACGTCGACCAATAAGCAAGGGTCGTGCTTGGAGGGGGAAGAAAAAAAGAAAAGATCTCGAAGAAGGTAGAAAAAGCTCAAGAGTATTCCCAGGGGGGGGTGAAAAACTGACTGATGGACCAGCTGGCCAACTGTCTCAGTCTCAGCTCCACTTTCAGTCGGAATCACTCTGTAGGAGTACTCTTCTTCTGATCGACTACCATATTCCTTCCTGGACCAGCAGTATACGCGTCCTTTAAAGCCATCCCCTATATAAAGTCGAAAGTCCAGAACATACCCTCTATGGACGTACGAGTATAGGTATCGGGGGTCCCCTTGGAAATAGAGCCAATCTGGATGTCGTTAAATTGTAAGGACGAGTCAGTCACGTCGGTAGGATATCATCCCCCGGGTATCGAATATATCCCAAGGGATGATACCGGACCGAAATAGGAATTCGTGATTTCTCCTTGCTCTGGTCTATATTGAAAAACTTAATTGACGCGTGAGAGCAGAATTTACTTGGAAAAAAAATATATCATCGGGGGTCACACCAGGGGATAAAGGTCACAGGGTAGTAGATTGGTCGCGTGAATTCAGTCGCCAGCAAGTAAGGGTGTGCATTAAGGCAAGTTCCCATTATCCACGGGTGGGAGTCCTAAATTATCCTTGCGGTTGCCGCGAGGCGTCGAGGTGCCCACCCTCGTTCCGTTGAAAAAAAGACGTGCGTATCTTTCCACCCCTGAGCTATGAACCCGCAGTCAAAAGCGTCGGGACGCCTGTTTCGTTAACTATTGAAGAACAAAAATCCATACAAGAACAATATTTCCATCACCCACCTATATGTAGTCAGACAATGGTAATGACCAGGAGACGAACAGGTGACCACGGTTACGGCGTCAGCGTCGCGACGCTCTTAACCCTAGCACGGATATGGGTTAATGTCCGTGGCTAATGAACGCTCAGAACATTTCGAGTTGTCAAAGCACTCAGCAAACCAATATTCCCTTTGAATAATGAAGAAGCTCATCGTTCATGAATTGCGGTTAATACACGACCAGCATAAAACCATAGTCCACTCATGGTTAATGTGATACAACGTTTTAACCCATTTTTTTATTTATTTATTTAGTCCCAGCCAAACGCATTATCCATATCCTAAAAGCTGAACTGCATCGATAAACCGTACAACAGGCAACGATCCGAGATATCATCAGTGCTGGCCTTCAGTTTGACCTGGATTCATATCATTCACGTTCAGCATGAATGTAGGCAGGATGTAAAGATCAGAATGATTGTGAGTAAAGGCAGAAGAGCGATCCCGATCAGGATCCTTCCTTTGACCATGTTTGGACATTAACGCCGATATTTCGTTGATAAGGGGTTAGATAAGGTGGGCGGGGAAGGGGGATGCGGAGAGGGAAATCCGGCGGATAGACCAACCACTAAGAGCTGTGATCCGCTGGCGGTTTATCTAATTGGAATTGTCAGAGGGTCAGAGGGCTTGGAGGAGGGAAGCTTCGAAGGAGTCAAGAGCCGATGGGAGGTAGGGTAGGAGTGGTTGGGTGGGGTAGAGAGATTGAAAGAGAGAGAGAGAGAGAGAGAGAGGGAGAATGTAGAAGCCCAGGGTGGAAGTTTCGGCTATCTCTTGGAACACAGTTCCAAGGAGGCTCCTTTAGACTTTAGTGACGTGACGTTGCCTAATACTCTAATCCCTTCACTGGCGGCAGCATCCTCTTAGAAGACGTTCCCTCCTCACCCTTGGCAGCATCCACTTCGAACTAGGACACGTTGGTCCTGGTGGACATGATGCAACGAATGGGCCGATACTCCCTAATTAATTGATGAGTCTCCATTTAAATGTAGACTTGGTCCAGGAAGGAGAGACATCAAGATAGAGTTGGTCCATCGATTATACCAGATCAAAGTGAACTCCGAGCTGGAACGTGAAGCGATATTAATTCGATTGGAATCGGCTGGAAAATTAAGTAGTGAGAGAGTGACTGATTGGTCGTCATAGAAAATGGTCGTACATACCTGACGTATGATGGGTTCATCCCCCAAGGGATGAAAAAAAAGTGCAAAGGTCCTCTGGTACGTATTGATCCTCGATTATCTCGAGCAGGTCGAACTTCCGGACAAGGAGCATCGGTCTGCAAAGAAAAGCGATAATGTCTTAAGCCGTCGGCGCGATTTAACTTCCGATTTCGACCTCCTCATCCTCGTTCTCCCTCACAGCCAGGAGACCTCGTGCGCGCGGTAGAGTTCGCCGCTCTAAACTCTGGGCTTGGTGGTCTGAGGAGGTTTAAGGTACGAGGTTTAAGGTTTAAGGGAGGCTCTCCTCGAGATCCCAGGGTGCGGCGCACTAAGCGCTGACGCTGATCCCTCTTGCTCCTTATACTTCTGTTTCTCTCTCCCTCTCTTTCTCTTCCGTTCGCCATTTCCCCCTTTACTCTCGGATCCTCCAATCCTCGAAGAAGCTTCCGTACTCCAGTCTTGCTTTATCTCGAGTTGTCGGCTCCTATCGCCAGGAACACTATACTACATACTTATTGCCATTGGCACGAGGTGAGGATAAACTTAGGTGAGGTTTGGACTCCCTCCTGGAACAGGATAATAATGATGACGAGAAAGGTGATCGTCATCCGTCATCCTTAACCGTCAGGGGTCACACGATCAGCGAGAACGAAGACATTACCAGCAGCTGTTTCTTGACGAGTCACGAGTTCACTGGCTCGGATTCGACCCCGTAGGAGGTCCAGGACGTTAAGATGCCAGAGAGGTGGGTAAGAGCGCGAGGGTGTAAGAGGGTGAAGCAGAGGGTTTCTACCCTCTGCTCGATAGCTCGATTAAACGCTCGACGCAGCCCCGAAGAGTTTTAATTAATGACGGCCTGGCCTTATGACGGCCGAGTTAAAAAAGAAACTCTTGAGATCCATATTGGTTACCCCCCCGGTCCAATCCGGACGCTGCAGCTGCCTGGATTCGATACTGGTTCACCGGACGATGCTGGAGAGGAGGGTCCGGGAGGTCATTAATTTGACAAGGAACCTGTCGATCTAAAGATCGTTTCATCAATTACCCAAAAGTCTCTTCACTCTTCCTCGTGGAGGAGCCATATTCGTCTGCCTAAGTACGAGCGTCACTCCTTTCTCTGAGAAGCTCAGACTTTCGCTCCGTTCAACCCCTATCGTTTCCTCCCTCTCTCTCACGATCTCTCTCGTCTTAATAATGGATTAATAACGCGTTCAACGATCCTAGCCCACACGGCCCGATTAATCTCGACTCCGGCTCCGACGGCTTCACGTTCGCTAGAATATTACGTGCTCGGCCTCCAAGGGGATCATCCCTTGAATATCAAGGAAACGTCGCAGATTAATACGCGGGACCTTAGGAGAAAAGTTCTTTGGGCTGGAGAATGAGTAAAGTAGCTGAAGGTCCAGCATCGTCCCCACATGGCCAAGTAAAAACAGAAGGGTTATTGGTCAGAGAACGCGAACGTGTTTCCAGAGTGCTTTACGAATTTCTAAACTGAGCGAAAGAACTATATATTAGAGAAGGGTGGACCGTCGTCATGGTGGTGGTCATAAGGGTAGCGACGGCGCTGCTGGCGATGGGGTTGAAAGGACTAGCGGCAGTAGCAATAGTATCTGTATAGGGGGTGTCTCCGGATACATGGGGTGAAAATATAGGAACGTGCGCGATGCGCGGCTCCCAACACACTGAGAACTTCATACTGGTGTGCATCTCGGTAGCACCAACCTAGGAAAGATTATTCCGCGCACCCTCTGAACCTCCTCGTAGACGCTCACACTCCTCGTCGTGTTCCTCCACCACGACGGTATGGGATCTGCCAGTAGTGGGAGAGTCGGCGTCGACTTGGTGGGGTCTGCGATAGGGTGAAAGACGAAGGCAAGGAGCGCAGGCCAGCTACCCTCCTACCTTGCAACCCTCTAGCAGCCACGGGGTTGCGTTTCGCCGCCGTCGACGTCGACGACGACGACGACGACGACGCCGCTGTCGGCAACGCCAAAGCTTGGGGGTGGACAATGCGCAGAACCCGCCCCCACTTTCGGAGACGGAGCAGAATCGCGATTCTTGCGCAACTGCGCATCCCCACCACTGTCCGATCTAAACCACCCTCTGACCACCCCGAGTCGTTTCCCTTAAACATAGCACAGTAGCTCACGAGCACCCCGTCGAGAAGGGTTCGCTGTTGCAACTTCCCCTCGGCGAGGCCGCTTTCGACGCGACCCCCTAACGCACAACCCCCCCAGAACGTCCTCGTGTCCGCGCAACGTTTTCACGAGATTTGACAAGTCGCGCGCGAACTTTATTCGTTAGACTGGGAAGGGAGGTTTCATTGTCAATTTAATTAATTGGGTCGGATTTGAATTGTATACTTAAGGACTTGAAGTATCTTTGAGAAGTTTTTTAATTTTTTGAAAGTGTTCACGTGACACGGTCCAGGTGGCATGAGAAACATCTCGGGAGTCTCCGCGTGGCTATGACTTCAGGAAGGAGCTCAGGTGAATTCATTTTAAGAATGATTTTAGATTGATCTATGGTGATCGAGATGAATTGTGATAAAGCTCAGCGGAGAATAAGGATGATAAAGACCGAGAGAATTGTCGGGTCGAAGATGTTTGAGATTGAAAGTGCATCGGTATCTCGCGACACTCAGATCCTAAAGATCAATCGAAAGAGATGTAATTGATTGAACGTGACTCCTCAGCATCCTTCGATCCTTGTCCAGAAGAGATCCGGAGTCCGGGGACTCTTGTTGGAGGAATTGCTGCTGGATCTGATTCTGATACTGGTGCTGGTGCTCGTTCTGGTGCTGGTGCTGATACTCGTGCTCGTGGCAGTGCTCGTTATAGTGGTGCTGCTTTTACCGGACGCTGCGATCGACTTAACTCTGGCATTTTCGTGTTCCAGGGTGGAACTGACCAGCGTACCGGGTGGGCAGAATGCGATGGCGCACCTCAAAAAACGGAAGCTCGAAGCAGAAACGTGCACTCCAAAGCCGAAACAGCAGTCACTGAGTAGCAAGAAGATGGTAGCGCAACAGGGTGTACCTCAAGAAATGGAGACGGTGGACGCTGCCGCGAAGCGTCGAAGAAAAGGTCTGCGCGATGATGAGATCAGAAAGCAGATCGAGATGGATGCCGCGAAGAACATAGCTTTGCCACAGAAGAAGCGAGTCTTCCCATTGGGCAATTCCGGAAGTCCGGCGAGGAAGACCAGCAAGAATTCTGAAGAGCCAGAGGACGACGAGACCCTCATCCGCGAGACGGAGGCTGCACTGAAGAGTCTCTCCGGTAGCTGGCCAGGACCTAGAGGATCTCTTCATCAGAGAGGTAATTCTGACGAGGACAAGTACGAGCCGAATTTTGAAAATCTTTTTGAGGAGAAGAAGGAAAATCCAAAATTGTCACCATCGTCCATGTCGACTTCTTCGACGGCCAGCAACGAAGCCGGATGTTCCCTCAAGGACGTCATCACGCTTCGCGGACAGCATGACCGCACTGGAAGAGGGCAGCAACAACAGAACAGACAAGATCCTACTAAACAACCACCAAGCAAGACCAAAAAGGAATTGGAAAACCTTTTGAAGATAGAAAGCGAGTGCGCCTCCATACAGAACCAAGTGGGTCAAAATCCGAATGAGTCCAAAAACCGATCTGGACCACGATGTCTCCCCCTGGGAAAGGACAGAAATGTCGGACCTCACGGGGAACAAACTCGTCAGCCTGACAAGTACTCCAGGTACGATCCCCCAGACTTTAACGAGCTCGTAGACGATTCTTCGAACGAACTCGAGATAGACATGTCTGACCCCACGACGGATAAGGACGAGGCTGACAAAGATAAAGTCGACGGTAAGGACAAGGACAGAACCTGCAAGAGTGGATCATCGCCAACTAATTCAGGAAGGCACCAACATCAACAGCACCAACAGCACCAACAACACCAGCAGCAACACCAGCAGCAACACCTCTACAGCGGGTACCAGAGACAGTACAGCGATGGTACCATGAAGGTATCTCCTACAGGAAATGCAGCACCTTCCTCGACCCCGTCATCAGGCACCTCTCCGTTCTCTGCCACTTCCGCCTTTAGGCCACCGAACACAGATCACGCAAAGTCCAGCTGTCGTGCGCCCACGCAGACCGGAAGTCCTCCAGGGTCATCATCAATCCCACCAATAGGACCATATCCAGCATCGGCCACCTTCGTCGGATACCCACCACCAGGTGTAGTACCTGGACCAGCAATGCCAGGTCCTCAGCCCGTAACAGGAATCTCTCCGTCCCCCGAAGATAAACACGTCTCGACAGTCTCGCTGCTCCAGCTGAAGTCCTCCAAGGACGAGAACCAAGTGTCACGCAATACTCCAAATCCCGTGAACCCGGTGAACACAGTGAACGCACCAAACTCTACCAAGAGTCCTAGCGGCATCTCCTCCGTCGCAAGTCCAGATACGAACACCTCCAAGCAGTACACAATCCTGCAACCAGCCGGCGTCGGCTCCAGGGCGGCCAGTGCCATCCAGGACATAAACAGAGAAGGAGTCGTCAGTGTTGCCGCAGTGAGCAGTAGCAGCAGTGTAAGCCCACCAAGTGGGACTAATAATACTATAAATAACAACAACAACAACAACAACACCAACACCAACAACAACAACAACAACAACACCAGCAACAGCAGCAGCAGCAGTAGCATCATCACAACTACAACCACAACCGTCAGTCCCTCAGCTGTTGGTGATGTCTCAACGACAACCGGAAACGTTCAACAGGACAACGTGATGAAACTTCCAGAAAGGACTGGGGGTTTCGACGGCACCAGACCTGGAATGTCCATGTCGCCGTCCAGTCTCAGTAGAGGTGAGAATCCGTAAGAAGAATGTGTTTCCAAATATATTACCTACTTTTCATTTAAAAAGAACCCGGTGCGCGATGAGGCTCGTTAACAAATAATTACCAGTATTGCATTAATCGTGTAAACAAAACCTAGAATGATTTGCAAGAAATTCGTTAAAACATTTATGAATATAGCAGAGGGGTTGTCGCTCGTGCGTTATGCGTTACCAAGACTGTCTGATAGCCCAGGAGACGATGGGGCTTTTGGCTTTGGAGGGGGGGGGGGGACAAAAGGCATTTTCGACTCTCTCTCTCTCTTTCTCTCTCTCACACTCGCTCTGTCTATAAAGTTAGGGGAGTTAGACCAGCGCGGAAAATCAATAATTACGAAGCGAGGGGTGATGACTCAAATGGTGAAATCAAGGTCCCTACACAGAAATTATTCTCCACGTTAGTTGCACCACGAGAAGAACCCAATCTTGGCCAATGACGACCGATCAAAATCAATGACCGCTTGAGGCTTTATAAAAAAACAAAATCTTAACCAAACCGAAAAGGGATTGGCGAGGAATAACGATAGGAGTATCCACGAAGAAAAATGACGTTGCGTCAGAGGGAAGGGGGGGTGAGGGTTGGCGACTCAAAGTAGGGATGAAGACTCGTTAAGGGGTGACAGGTGGAGTTTGAGTGCATTCCGGAGTGTTACGGGACGCGGTGACACGGAGCGTCTAGTCGAGGGAAATTTGGGGTTGATACCACGTCATATGTATAAGCCGCAGCTGTCAGCGGCTGGAAACGTGACTAGAATGCCACCCCCGTTTCAAGCCACCTTATTACCAGCATTGCGTCCCTGCCTTTCCTCATTATCCCCTTAGCCTTTTCTCCTAGTCCCTCCCTCATCCCTTATATCACTCTCCCTGTGCTTCTCTGGAGCAGATTCGCAGAAGCATCCCTCTGACGTGTATACAGCTACTGCTGCCATTACTGCCACTGCACTGTTATTGTTGCTCGTGCCGAGGAGGATACGGGGGGTGGTAAAGCGTTGCACGAAGCGCACCTTGCAAATCAAGTACATAAGGGTAGTAAGGGTTGGCTCTGAGATGGGGGTGGATTTTAAACGGCGTGTCGTGAGATAAAATTGAGAGGCCGATCAACGAGTCGTTTACTTTACAGTGAAAGCAGGTATGCACGTAGGATATTGTAAATGTGTATAGGGGTGAGAATGGGGTGGTAGATAAAGGGTAGCTACTATTTTCTAGAAAGGGATGGTTGGTGGGTATTAGCGTGCGAACGGGTCAAGCGGGTTCTACGGAATCACAGAAGGTCGATCGCTCTCACACGGTTAGCCCTGGATATCGTTTGATTTTGTATGGCGATTGCGTGCGAACCCCTAGAGGAGCGTGTTGACACGCTATAAAGCCGCTATCGGGAAATCCGTTGGCCGCAAACTACCCCCTGCCCCCAAAGCCGCAGACGTCGTACGGGCCCCCGCGAGCCGGCGGAGTGCTAATAAAAAAATAAACTACCCTGTAACTCAATTTTACGTTACTCTTACTTTGCCCTCTTTCATCACCCTCCC